ACCACAACCACTATCAACAGCAAAATTGATCAAGTCATATTTCTCCATACGTCACCAGTGGCTAATAAAATATAGCTTACCCGGTATATCTCTATAGGATATTGTTGTCGATTGGCTCAAAATGCAGCTTGATGGCCAAGCCCCTGGGTCAGCCCAACACTCAGTAAGCCCACCCTCAGGCACCCTTCAGAGCCAGCTGGCAGCTCTCCTGGACAGCCTGTGGGAGTGCCCTGTGTCAAGATTGTGGGTCTTCATTACATCAAAGCAGTGAGCCTGAAGCACGTCACTGACCCAGACATGCAGACTGGAAAGACTACGGAGTCATCCTGGATGTGTGCCTGGGAACACAGTAGCCCACAAGGACTAGCCAGACAAAGGATCCCTCTGCCATATGTGTTTTTAGAGTCAGAACTCAAAATATTAAACTTTAATAGTGTGTTGGGACTTAAGGCAGAAACTGTGCATGTGAGTGTATATGTGTGTGTGGGGGGGTAGAGTAAGAGGTAGGGAGACTGGGGGAGAGGGAGAGACAGTGTGAGGGAGGGAGGGAGAGAGGGAAGGAAGAGGGAGAAAAACCAAACATCAGGCCGAGATCATGCTCAAATTGAATGGGAACAATTAGATCTGACATGCCTGTGGTGCAACTCCTAAGGAATAATGAGGCCCAGATGACCTAGAGGGTTCTTTCCAATTAACTGTTTACTATCTATCAAAATTAAACAACTCCTGAGTTTTGGAACTTAATAAGTAAAACAGATAATCACCAAATCACAACTACTTGACTTCAAAGTACATTATGTAACCAATTTTTTTTAAAGTGCATATTTCTCTTCTAAATAATATCATACATTAAATATATGACTTAAGCGAACATTAAAATAAATTTGGCACAGATCAACGAATGGTGGAAACTGGAAGATAGCCCGGAAGTTGGACTGGAGAGGGAAAACAGCCTAGAGCTAAAAATTTACCAGAGACAGTCCCCATATGGATTAGTAACATGACAGTGCAGGCAAATGTATAGTTACATTTCATGAACTAAAACGGCTCACTTATTTTGTGGTGGTTGTCACTAAAGGTGAAAGGGGAAGTGATTTGCTAGAGCACTGCAGGAATTAATGTGAGAAACAGAATGAGAAAAAAAAAATAATCAGAAGTCCTTGGCTCAGGCTGCTGAAACCAACCCACTGCACCATGCCTCCCATTCTGTCACCATGGTTGGTTTCCTGCCAACAGCTCCTAAATGACATCTTCTAAGTTCTGCAGAAAGAGGAAACAGCCAAGGGATCACAACAGCGAGCAGAAGCGGCTGGGGCCGCAGCATATGTGGAAGCATTTGTCTTCTAATGAACTATTACTTTCTTTTCAACTTGACTCTAGCTTTCAGTATCAAAGAAGGTGTCCTACAGGCAAAACACGTTCAGGTCACAAAATCAGAAGATGGTGCTCTATCTTACCAGATTTCCTACGGACAAGACATGTTCAAATTGTGGCGTCATAGGATGGTGCTCCATTGCCATAAACAGTGTATTCAGGACAATGCAGATGGTGATGGCCAAGTCCACAAAAGGGTCCATAACAATCAAGTTCACAATCTCTTTCAGCTTTATCCAATAGGGGTGACACTCCCAGATGAGGAAAGTATTGGCAAATTTATACCAGCATGGTGGGCATTTTCTCTGAGACTCTTCCAGCTCTGTAGTGAGTAAAGAACAAAGGTGACCCCTCAATCACATCAAGAAAACAGAAGGGATAATTACAAATCCTCATTGGGGCATTACCACTGTTATTAACATGGAAATCAAGGTGGCGTGAGTGCTGACTTTCCCTCTTTTCCCCTTCTCTCAAAGGGAGAGAGGAGGCGTGCTCAGCACCAGGTCACTTCCCAGTTAATAAGGATCTAGTTATAAACAAAACTCAAGCCATCCGTTTTGGGAGCACAGCATAGTGGTTAGGAGCTTAGCTTTTGGAGTCTGACTCCCAGGTTCAACTGGCTTCCACACTCACAAGCTGTGTGATCTCAGGCAAAGTAGGACTCCTCTGTGCCTCAGTTGCCGCATCTGAAATGGCACTTACCGGGTACGTCGCAGGTTATAGAACTAAGCTCATACTCATCCATTCATTAAGGATTAAATGAGCTGATGTATGTAAAGCAGATGGCACAGTGCCTGGCATAAGGTAAGTCCTCAATAAAAGGTATTATATTATACATTGTATCATTAACTTATTATCAGAGAAGCAGTCGAAAGCACAGACTCCGAAGCCAGACATAGCTGGGTGCAAATACCGGCTCAGACGCTTGCTCCCTGGGGGACCTTGAGCAAGTAATTTCAATTTCCTGTGAGAATTAAATGAGCTAAAAAATAGATCAAGTGCCTCAGAACACCCTAGCGTACAGTAAGTGCTACAGAAATATTTGCTATTATTATTATCTTTACAGCAGAATCAGTGTCGTCAACCAAGCCATGTGGAATGTATCTCGTATGTTCCCAAAGAAGTACAAATCAGTGAGTTTATAATTCCCAATTCAGTTATGAATGTAAGTCCCATTTCCAGTTCTCCCTTCCTTCCTCTTTCTCGTCTCTCCTCCCTCTACCTTTCTCCTTCTCTCTTGCCGTCTCCCACTTTTGTCCTTTCCTTCTCTCCTTATCTGCTTCCTCTCTCCTTTCCTCAGTCTTGTTCTTCTTTCCCTTTTCTTTCTCTCCTGATTTTGTCTTATACTCTCAGTCTCTTTTTGTCTCTTTTAGAAGCAGAACCTGTTTTGTTTGTTTTTATTTTCCAAATAAGATTTCATGTAAGCGCCAATATACAAAATAGATAAACCAGGAATTGCTCTAGTTAAGGCAGGAAAAAGAGCTTGGAGCTCAGTCCAATTCATTTCTTCCTTTCCTAACGTAGTTCCCAGAATCCTAGGGCTCTGATAAACACAGACTGAAAATCACTGTGCTAGATAATCTCTAAGGTCGTTTACAAAGCAAAGTCTAAAAAGGATGATTAGACAGTCAAGGCAGAGAATCATTCGGCTAGCAGCTACAACCATGTAGGTATGAGGCCCTAGGAAACAAAGCTCTCCTCAAATTGAGTATGAATATACTAACTAGGATTACGGAAGTCCAAGGACTTTGACCTAAGAGAATGGCCTTTAAGAGGTGTAACCTGGCAAACCTGTCAGCACGATAATCCTTATAGGCAAGGTATTGTTCTACAGGGTTGGCTATAACTGCATCCCCCTCCACCCAATTCTGTTGACAAAACCAAATCATTCAGGGAATAAAGGCAAGTTTTCCAACATTTCACTAAGAACAAGATGGCTGCCTTCAATTAATCTACTTCCCTTTTGCCAATCAGCTGGATGGTGCCCATGGTGATGGCTTTATTTTAGATGGGGTGCTTTGGTTGGGTTTCTGATTGGCTCCCTGGTTGCTAAGAAAATGGTTGCCTTGGTTTTTCAGATTTAAGGGCCACTGTAAGCGCCATGTGGGAGTCTGCGTGGGAAAGGAAGTCTGTGAAGAAAATTTGCTTTGGCTTCTTCCTCATAGAACTCCCTCCCTTCCCAAGGTAAATTTAGTATTCTTCCCCAAAAAAGAAAATGAAAAGGTTCTCTTATTTCCATAAATTCTTGTAGTACATATTTGGAAATCTGGTTCCGTTCCTTTTTTAATCTCCTCCCTTCTCCAAATGTCTGCTGCTCACCGGCACGTGGAGGTTGAAGCAGCTACTGTTCACGTTTCTGACAGTTGACACAATTGTTATGTTTTACAATGAGCTAGGCTCCAAGTCTTTGCCAGACAGTAAAGAGGGGTTTTCCTACCCTATGGGGCACCAAGAAGATTCCTAGAGGGAAAGATACGAGGTATCTCTCATCCACATTTTCTGAGGAGGAAATATTCTCTGGATCTTTTCTGTTCTACCAAAAGGAAGACAATGTGGAACCTTAGCAGCTAGAAAAGATCAATCACGTGAATAAGTAAGTCTATAAAGTAGCTCATAACTTTGCAATCTTACTGGCCCCACATGTCTGGAATGGAGGAAGTATCTGGTCTGGGGGAATGGGTTAACATATGGGGGTGAGATGCCCAAAGGTTTGTGGGGTTTCCCTTACTTTGCTCCTGGACATGTTCAGAGAGGGTACTGTGGGTCTCAACTTCAGAAGTACTGGAAATTGTTTTCAGAGATGGCCTCATATTTCCACCAAGATGGTGGCGTTAGCTGATCATGAGGTTTCTGAAGGCAAGGGCTTCTCTCAGTTCAGTTAAAAACTTTTAAGCACTTAAAATTTGCGAGGCACTAGGAATACACTGATGAACAAGAGTCCCCACCCTCAGAGCTTACAGCTGCACCAGGAAGGCAGATACCAGAGAACTGTACTGACACTTGATGTTTGTCAGCTATATAAAAGAATGAATAAATTGCGGCAGCAATGGTTATAGCCAGTTGCCTCTACAGGGGAGGGTTTTTGTAAAATTAATTAATTAATTAATTTTTTTAGTGTTAGTTTTAGGTGTACAGAACAATGCAATAGTTATCCTTTTTACCCTTCACACAGAAGCAACCCCCCTTCCCCATCTACTGCCCTCCCACCCCCGATATCATACTTATCTATTACAATCCCATTGACTCCATTCCCACACTCTACTCCACGTTATGTGACTATATGCATATATAATTATAGTTGACATACAATGTTATTCGACATCAGCTTCAGAAATACAGTGCGGTGGTCAGGCCTCTACACCGACTATGAAGTGGTCTCCCTAACAAGACATGAATCCATCTGGCCCTACAGGGGAGTTTTTGAAACTGTTTAATCTGAGAATCAATAATACCAAGTGCCTTCATTACTTCCTCACTCTTACTTCACTAACTCTTTCCCCTTTTCCCACAGCTTTATGGCCAGGAAGTGACACCATACTACTCTTTGCCTACACCCCACCCCCAGTCCTCTGAAATAGCCCCAAAACTGATGGCTTTGCTCACTGTGAATTCTGCTGAGTTTGCTGGATCCTGGTGAGCATGTTTGCAACAGGATAGGGGTGAGGCAGAGAACACAGGACTTTCTCATTATTTATAGTATTCTGGAATTTTCCACTGTGGTTTCTAAGCCATTAAGTAGGTAGGAGCCTGCTTCTTTGGTTTTAAATAATAATAATGTTAATCTTTGGATTAAAATAATGTCAGTTTCCTAACTGCGGGTCTGAGAAGCAGCAGTAACAATTGCTCCCTCAATTCTGGCTTTTCCTGTTGTAGTGATCATTAAATCCAGAGGGACCAGGGGTTAAATAGGATGGATCTCTCTTCATGGCTTTTAATTCCCTCTCATGTTTTTCAGCTCCAGCCACTCAGCGCTCTTTGCTTACAGCACTTCTGTCTCATCAGTTTTAACAAAGGAAGTTAAACACTAGGAGAAGGGATAGAAGGCAGGAAAAGGCATGAAAGGTACCGGCAATGTGAACATGAGGGCTTAGAAAAGGGGGAAAGAAGTGGAATGGCTTCCCACTCAGGAACACAACTGCAGCTGTCTCTCTCTCCCCTGAGCTTCCCTTGCATCTTTTTTTTTACGTGCGTGCTGCTTGGCAGAGGGTAGAGAATGAAAGCAGGACAGAAAGGGAAAGAAGAGAACAGGGAGAAGAGGAAGAAAAGGGAATAGAGAAAGATAGTAACACTCCACTGGTTTATCACCAACTCAGTAGAAGGATGGAAGCACTAGGCCTCTAGAAGGAATCCTGCAGCACAGCACCAATCCCACCATTCCAAGCACAGCAAAATTCAGTGCAACAAACATTTTTTGAGCAAATATATTTGCCATACCCCTGTGTTAGGTCACTGAGGTAATCAACAAATAGCTGTTGCACTGTACTGATAGTTCTCCTGTTCTGATGTCTTTGCCAATAATAAAATATGCCTGTTGTTAGTTTGCTTTCTCAACTGCCATAGATAATCACAGAAATCTTATATTGGTCTCCAAGTGAAGAATAAAACTAGCCAAAGTTCTTAAAATATTGTAGTATTTTTTATCTTGGAATTCTTATGATCTGCAGCTATTTAACTGCAATCTCAAAGTACAAGCTATAGGGCTTAAAGATGTTCTATCAGACAAGACCCTCTATGGGACTGAAAGAAAACAGGAATAACTAAAGTTGTTCAGGTAGTTGAAAGCAGTTGTTCAATATTCTTTTTACTTGCTACATTCTCCAGATTAGTCTAGGTCAAGTGTAACTCCTTGCCCATATATACGGATGTAAACGCTCCAAGGGAGTTTCTTTCTAGGGATTCTCCCTTCACCACAGACACCCCTATCCAACACGCGCGTGCGTGCGCGCGCGCGCACACACACACACACACACACACACACACACACACACAGAGCAGAAGTGGTGTTGGGCCTAGATGATTTAAAAAATAAGTTGTCCCAAGGACACCAGGGTAATTTTGAGTCTCTCTATCTCAGGAACTGGTTACTGTTAGGTTAGCCTGGGTATCTGAATTCTGAGGAACACCAATTTGAGACCTGAAGGATAACCTGGATCTGAGTGGATAAAGAAGTTGTAGTACATATACACAATGGACTATTACGCAGCCAGAAAAAGAATGAAATCTTACCATATGCAACAACATGGATGGGCCTAGGGGATATTAAGCTAAGTGAAATAAGCCAGACAGAGAAAGTCAAATACCATATGAATTCATGTATGTGTGGAATCTAAAAAACAAAATAAACGAACAAATAAAACAAAAACAAACTCATAGATAAAGAGAACAAATTGATGGCTGCCAGAGAGGAGAGAAGTTGGGGGATGGGTGAAAAAGGTGAAGGGATTAAGAAGTACAAATTGGCAGCTATAGAAACAGTCATGGGGATGTAAAGCACAGCACAGGGACTAGACAGTCAATAATATTGTAATAACTATGTATGGTGTTAGGTGGGCACTAGACTTACTGGGGTTGTAAGTTATATAACTGTCTAATCATTATCTTGTATCCCAGTAATGAATATATTGTAAGTCAACTGTAATTGACAGAAAGACAAGAATAGTTTGGATCTATAATGGGACAACTCAGCTAAATCAACATGAATCAAATGAAGAAGATTCGTGCAGAATCAATCAGAACCTGGTGAAAGAAAACTTCGTCCCTGAATCTACCTCCAAAGAACACGAGAGGAGCCCGGAAAGCAAGAGGACCACAAATGGACAGAAAGCTGACACTTGCTGGGGAAAATCCTCAGATGTTTGCCTGCATGTCAGGCTATCATGGAGGAGCTGCTTAATGTGAGTGCAGGCACTGCCAGCGGCATGGCTGCAGACATGCGATGACTCAACAGCGGCTGCTCTTGTCCTGCGGCACAGAGCGCCACAGGAAGAGGGGCCTCAGCTTACCTATCCACACGTCGGATATATTTATGGATATGTGGGGGTGTTTGAAGACAGGCAGAATTAAGAGCAATCAAAATGCACAGCAGGGCTGGCCGAGTGGCGCGTTGGTTAAGAGTTGGCTTGGGACGCAGCTCTGAGCAGCAGGGCCCCGGTTCGGATCCCACATGAGGGTCAGTGACACTACAGCTAAGATGGTGAACAACAGCTCGACCTGGAGCTGGGCTGCCATGAGTCGCTGGCGATGGTGTAGGCTGCAGCCCCTGTTGCAATGGGTTGCCACGGGCTACCGTGTGTGGCCGGCAGCCGGTGTGAGCGGCCAGCAGCCGCAGTGAGCGGCCGTCCAGAGGCCGGCAACTGATCTGCCTCGCCCGGGAAGAGCACAATGATAATACCAACATGGGCCAGTGAAGTGACATCCTCCACAACTAGACTGAAGAACAAAAGGACAGCAACTTGTCTGTTCCCCTTCCCCCAATTCCCCAGCGCTGTTCCCCTCCCTCAATTCCCCAATAAAATCTTAAAAAAAAAAAAAGAGCTCTATTAAAAAAAAATGCACTGCATACTCAATCCTTAAGGGAAAACAAAAAGGGTTTAAGTAGCTAAAAAGGAAAAGAGGTAGGTACGTTTTGGGGTAGAGGGCATGAGGGGGACTCCACCATCTCGTATGTTCACAGTTCTTCAGTCTGCATTCCTTTATGCCTCACAGCACCCCACTGGCTCCACAGGACGACGATTCCAGAGACTCCTTCAGATCCTCACCCATGCGTCATCCCTTCACACTTCTTACCTATGTGTGTACAATGCTGGCAACAGCTTTGAAGGCCTTATTGGATTTTCTGCATGCAGATTTGGGGTGCTGGTTTCTAGAACCAGTAGACTCTACTCCTAAAGCTCAGAGACAATTTTTGCAAAACTCAAACTAAGTGACAGGGATTATATTTATCATGCACACATATATTTGTAACTCAGCAGCTTGGACTGACATCACAGGGCACATACCTTCTACTAGTGTATTTGTAACAACACTCAGGATACTGTTGATCCTGTCCTTCCGTCCATAGGAGGCCAGTTGGTCCATGGAAACTAAGAGAGATCCAGGGCCTTTCTTCTTAATTTCCACTTCAGTTGTACCCTGAAAAAAAAAAAAAAGCAAATGGGGTCAGTAAAGTCTTATAAACGTGAAGACTGGGCCTTATTGGATCGATATGCCAGAGTACGAGCAAGAAGACATGCTCCCCCTTACATCTTTTTACTTTGATCCTACAGTCCTATTCACCCTAAGAAGTAGACTGAAACAAGCTGGCCATGGGTCATCCTTAGTTCTACAGATGACAAGACCAAGTCATTTAAGTTTGTACAAATCTACGATGAACCCAACAGTCTGGCTGGGACCCAAACACCTCATCTGCTCAATTCCAAACACAGAGTAAAAAGACCAGGTCCCATGGGGCAATACCAGCAGAAGTAGGCCCTGAGTTTTCCTTTCCTAGTCCCGTGCCCACAGCATTTGACTAGAATTGGACTACATGATAAAATAAGTCAATTGACCCCTATTTGGAATTTCATTAAGGGCCAAGTCCCTGATCACACTGAGTGTTATAGACATTGTTTCCTCCATGTGTAGTAAGAGGGCAGAGACAGTCACCATCAATCAAAGGACAGGGAAGAGATACGTTTGTATGAAGCTAGAGAGGTATCTGTCTGATCAGCACCAGAATGATCCTACCTGTTTTGAGAATAAAACAATTATCTCTGGAGAGCTGTATCAGAAAGCCTTTCCATCCTTACATATGTTTGAATTTTAAGACCCATATAGAAGATTGCAGGTTTTTCCTTGGGGTCGCAGTGTGAGAGCAGAGTACGAATTGCTGATGCCAGAGTCATGGCAGGATAGGCATTTACAAAGTTTCTCCCTCTCTTTGATTATTAGTTGAAAGCAGTGCTATGGAAACTGTAACCAACGGAGGCATTATCTTCCAGAAAAATATCAAGGAAAAGTATTGCAAGCAACAGTAGTATCAGGCTGTTGGATCAGGCTCTTAAGGAAAGGGCAGCGAGAGTCCATCAGTCAGTGTGAAAGTTAGAGATAAAGTTCTTCCAGAATATGGAGGCATCAAAGTAGTTCTAGACGACAAGGGTTACTTCTTATTTAGAGATGGTGGCTTCTTGGAAAGGATGTAGGCTGAAATAAGTCACTATTGACATGGCATCACGTGAAGCTGCCCCTTCCACTGAAGTTGTGAAATCTCATCATGTAAATAAATTCCATGTCTCTCTTTTGTAATAAACTAATGAATCCAAAGTAATGGCATCCAGTGTCTCTTAAAATTTAGTTCCACTGTACTGATGTAAACATTTCCAAATAAAAATATATCAAAAAAGGAACCATATAGAAGCAGCGTTCTGGCAGATTATAATTTATCACAATGTTTCATCAGACTTTCACTGATGAAGACATTTGGTTCACCAAAGGGTTTTGTTTGTTTGTCAGGGCTACAGAAGAAATAAAAAGGGAAAAGAACTATTTCCTTGGGAATTCCTGCATTACTACACAAACATATGTATATGTAAGAATGACTTGTTGACCATTACCTCAGGTCATGATAAGGTAGATTTCTTTGAGAAGCCACTTTTGGTTACAATTCCTGATATTCATGATATTTAATAAATCAGATAAATCACTACATTTCAAAAATAACAATCATCTAAAAATGAACACAGAAAGGCCCCATTCAATGGATACTCTTATTTCTGCCACTTATTGAATCTAGATTTTTACTGAGTTGTCCTTCTGAAAAATCTACAGTACATGGTAGATAATCTTCACAATGTTCACCTCTAATTTACTGTAAGATCTAGTGGGCTGGCTATACCTCAGAAAGGATGAAATCACATTTACTGTAGCTTTGGTACTAAGTATACCTTACTGTTTTCTGGGCTTTCTGGATACAAGATATAAATTGTCTAGGCTTTAATAACATTAAGTTTAAAAAAACCAAAATTAATGAAAATGCTGTTTAAAGAACCTAGTCTGATTATGAGATTATCATTTCGTGACACCTATTTGAAAGCTAAAATAATTTTTAGCTTGGGTTAAAAAAAATCTGCATAAAGAAAAACTCACCCCCAAACTTAACATTAAGATGGAAAAATTATTATTTACATCTTTCTACGTAAAATGAAAGTAAACTATAGCAAGGATATGTGGAGATAACCTCTATAACGTTAAAATTTGTTCCATAATTAAGATATAGAATATATCTTAAGTTTCAAAAAGAAATAAATGAAAGAAGACACCAAGAAATGAAAATTTCAAAACCCATATTTAGGGAATTTTAGAGGGTTAAAAGAGAAATTCCTTATGTTATTTTTTTATGCAGGCAAGAACATTTAGCATAGATCCAAATAATTGGTTCCATCAAAAAGTCTGATGTAACAAAAAGATATCCAGGAAAATCCCCCATATATTTACATTTATAAATTAAACAAGACTTATAAAAATCCATGGATCAAAGATGAAATCACAATGTAAATTAGAAAATACTTTATGGAACTCTCCAGCATGGAAGTAATGAAAGAGGCGTCACCATCCCAAGAAAGATATCAAGCCAGCCAAGGACCTGTGGCTTCTGTTCAGGAAAGAAGCCAAGACACGGACAATGCACAGCCAGGAATCCATCATTCAGCTGCAGAAGGCAGGCTTGTCCCGCAAGCACACTGAGGGACTAGAGGGGTTAAAGGTCATGTCTGTAGACCTGGCATCTCTCTACAGGGATAGCACCACCAGCATCCCTGAGGAGAACAAGGACCTGGCTCCTGTCCCTCCGCCAGGGGCTCCGGCTCTGCTCTGCCAAACTGGGACTGACAAGAAGTCAGAGGCCACCACCTCTCCATCGGATGGAGCCTCGCTGAAGAGTCCCACTCCCTCTGCCACCTGGATCACACCAGTCATTTCTCCAAAGACTTCCTGAAGACCATCTGTTACACCCCCTACCTTATCTTCCATGAGTTCCAACCTGACCCAGAGCTCTAGCAGTGACAGCATCCACAGCGTCCGTAGGAAGCCAGGGCTGGTGAAATAGCAGAGGCCATGATCTAGATTTAGCTCTGGCTGGTGGGCCTTACCTTCCCCCATTCAAGCACTCACACTCTCTTGCCAAGCTCAGAAGTCTCAACTTCTCAACGGAAGACCTGACCAGTGAGGCTGACGTGTCCACCATTGCCAACTTCCAGGATGCCAAGTTGAGGGAAGTTTCCTTCCTACACGAGCCCCAGGCAACCCCAAGGAACCCAGCAGTCACCTCTAAACAGTCAGGGAAATATATTCCAGACAGCTTGAAAAGGCCCTCGTGGATAAGCAAAAAGCTGACTCCCCTTTAATTGATCGAAGATCCTTCTCTTAGTTTCACTGTGGATTTGTCAGCCCCTCAGTCTGATTTCTCTTAAACAACTGCCATTCTCCTAACTCTTCCATAGGGAGGAGGAGAAGAAACAAACACGTTGCCCCTGAAGAAAGGGGAGTGTCAGTTGTGTGGCTGGGGGAACCAGAAGCTGTCTGCCAGGTGACTCTGAGCTCAAGTCATGTTTTCAAGAATCATGTCTTAAGAAGAGCATATATAGATATGTACACACATCAAAAATACTCCATTTGCAACATGCAAACGAACAGTTGTAGTGATGGCACTGTCACCGTGGCGCATGTTCCTAGCTCATTTAGGCCCTTGTGGGAAAACTCTTGGATGGCAATGTAAGTCCTACCTCTATTTAAAAAAAAAAAAAAAAAAGGAAAAAACTCTGATGATAATGAAAATGCAATACATAACGATTTATGGGATGCAGCTAAAGCAATGGTCAGAAAAAATTTTATAGTCTGAAATGCTTATACTAGAAAATAGAAAAAGGGCCGGACGAATGACTCAGTTGGTTAAGAGCGTGAGCTCTGAGCAACAGGGTCGCCAGTTCGATTCCCACATGGGACAGTGAGCTGTGCCTGAGCTGAGCTGCCAACAGGTGGCAGGATGGTTCAGCTGGTGAGAGCACGTGCTCCTAACAACAAGATTGCCAGTTCGACTCCCACATGCGATGGTGGGCTACGCCCATCTGCAACTAAGATTGAACACGGCACCTTGAGCTGAGCAGCTGCAAGCTGACAGGCGGCCGGATGGTGACTGGACTTGGAGCTGAGCTAGCTGTGCCCTCCACAACTAAGACTGAAGGACAACAACCTGGCTGTTCCCCTTCCTCAATTCCCCAACACTGTTCCCCTTCCCCAATTCCCCAATAACATCTTTAAAAAAAGAAAAGAAAAAATATATAAAATCAATGCTCTAAATTTCCATCATAAGAAACTAAAAAAAGAAGATCAAATTAAACCCTAAGTAAGTAGATGAAAGGAAATAATAAAAATAGGGGCAGAAATTAATGAATTAGTAAATGAATAAAGAATACACAATCAAAGAAGTGAAATACTGTTTTCTAAAAATAAAATTGATAATTCCCCTAGCAAGACTGATCAAGAAAAAATAAGTAAATACAATTTATAATTTTCAGTAATGAAAATATTTGCAGAAGAATAATACCAATCTTATTCAAATTCTTTCAGAAAACAGGGGATAAGGGAATACTTCTCAACTTGTTTTATAAAGCTAATCTTCATACTAAACCTGACAAAAACATTACAAGAAAAGAAAATTAGAGACCAATAGCCCTTATGAACAGAGATGTGAAATTCTTAACAAAATATGAGCAAATAGAATCCAGCAATATATACAAAGGATAATACATCATGACCAACTGGGTTTATCTGAGGAAAGCAACGTTAGTTTAACACTATGCAAAAAGTCAATGTTGTTCATCACATTAACTGTATAAAGGAGAAAAACCACATGATTATCTCACTGATGCAGAAAAAGAACATTCAACAAAATTCAACACTTCTACATAATACATTTCTCAGCAAGCCAGAAATACAATGTAGCGGCTTTGATTTGACAAAGAACATCTATGAAACCTACAGCCAACATTAGACTTCTAGGTAAAATATTAAATCTTCTTCCTCTAATACTGGAAACAAGAAAGCATATCTGCTTTCATCACTTCTATTCAATTTCATATCTGAAGTCCTAGCTGGTG